TGATCTCACCAGAAGCCTTTGGCCGTCTGAGAGGTTACTCAGATCATAGTCTACCAGGTCCCTCTTTCCTACAGTCAAAAGCCGTAAAAAGAGCAGAAAAGAAAGCAGGAAAACAGCAAATTATACAAAATAAAAAATGTATGATTTCATTGCACATTTTGAGTGTACATGTTGGCCAAGGTGTCCATGAAAAAGAATAATGCAATCAAATACATTTTGTTGTTCGTCTTTGACATACCAAAGACTCTAATCACCATTTAACTAATAACCTTGCATTTAAATGGTTACAATCCTGAAAATAATTGAATGTTTTGAGCAAGTCGAAAGTTGTTTAACTTTAACTAATGCAGCAGAAAAATATAAATACATTTTAGAAGGGCACAAGGGTTAAGTTCCAGCAGTGGTGTTGTTTTACCTTGATATGCTGTAGAAGGAGCTTGTCACGAGTCAGGATACTCAGCTCTGAATCCATTTTTTTTGTCCAGCATGAAGAACGCCACACTCTGTACACTTCTCTATCAAGCCTTCAGGAATATCTATATCTATGTATCTATAATATCTATGGCTATATATCTATATATCTATATCTATATCTATATATCTATAATATAACAAAGAGAGAAATGACACATCACCACTTGCTGTCCTTCACATTAAGAGTCTGAAGGTCCATAGGTTAGTGTACTGTGATTGGTTCATAGGTTAGTGTACTGTTATTGGTCCATAGGTTAGTGTACTGTGATTGGTTCATAGGTTAGTGTACTGTTATTGGTCCATAGGTTAGTGTATGGTGATTGGTCCATAGGTTAGTGTATGGTGATTGGTCCACAGGTCAGTGTACTGTTATTGGTTCATAGGTTAGTGTATGGTGATTGGTCCATAGGTCAGTGTACTGTGATTGGTCCATAGGTTAGTGTACTGTGATTGGTCCATAGGTTAGTGTACGGTGATTGGTCCATAGGTTAGTTTATGGTGATTGGTCCATAGGTTAGTTTATGGTGATTGGTCCATAGGTTAGTGTACTGTGATTGGTCCATAGGTTAGTGTACTGTGATTGGTCCATAGGTTAGTGTACGTGATTGGTCCATAGGTCAGTGTACGGTGATTGGTCCATAGGTTAGTGTACGGTGATTGGTCCATAGGTCAGTGTACTGTGATTGGTCCATAGGTCAGTGTACTGTGATTGGTCCATAGGTTAGTGTACTGTGATTGGTCCATAGGTCAGTGTACTGTGATTGGTCCATAGGTCAGTGTACGGTGATTGGTCCATAGGTTAGTGTACTGTGATTGGTCCATAGGTCAGTGTACGGTGATTGGTCCATAGGTTAGTGTACTGTGATTGGTCCATAGGTTAGTGTACTGTGATTGGTCCATAGGTTAGTGTATGGTGATTGGTCCATAGGTCAGTGTACGGTGATTGGTCCATAGGTCAGTGTACGGTGATTGGTCCATAGGTTAGTTTATGGTGATTGGTCCATAGGTTAGTGTATGGTGATTGGTCCATAGGTTAGTGTATGGTGATTGGTCCATAGGTTAGTGTACTGTGATTGGTCCATAGGTTAGTGTATGGTGATTGGTCCATAGGTTAGTGTATGGTGATTGGTCCATAGGTTGGTGTATGGTGATTGGTCCAAAGGTTAGTGTACTGTGATTGATCCATAGGTTAGTGTACTGTGATTGGTCCATAGGTTAGTGTACTGTTATTGGTCCATAGGTTAGTGTATGGTGATTGGTCCATAGGTTAGTGTACTGTGATTGGTCCATAGGTCAGTGTACGGTGATTGGTCCATAGGTCAGTGTACGGTGATTGGTCCATAGGTTAGTGTACTGTGATTGGTCCATAGGTCAGTGTACTGTAATTGGTCCATAGGTTAGTGTACTGTGATTGGTCCATAGGTTAGTGTATGTGATTGGTCCATAGGTCAGTGTATGGTGATTGGTCCATAGGTTAGTGTACTGTGATTGGTCCATAGGTTAGTGTATGTGATTGGTCCATAGGTCAGTGTATGGTGATTGGTCCATAGGTTAGTGTACTGTGATTGGTCCATAGGTTAGTGTACGTGATTGGTCCATCCACGGTGAGTACTGATGCATTATGGGAGACTGTCAGTGAGTGAAAGAGTAGATGTTTGGTTTCAAAAACTCAAAACTGAGGATTTGTTGAAAAGCTTGAGAACCAGTTAAAGGAACTGATTGAGGTTGGAGGCGACAGAGAGACACTGGTTGACTTTCTAAACCAGTAAAAGCAGCCGGTGGAGTTTTTAGACCAGTAACAGAAGAGGAACAGGTATGACCTCGAGTGACCTCGACGGTCGAGTCGTTCGGCGTGACCTCGACGGTCTAGTCGTTCGGCGTGACCTCGACGGTCAAGTCATTATGAGCTGATATTTTGTGAATTTGGTTGTGCGTTGTAAGTGATTCAGTCGTTCCATCACAGCTTTTCTGCAATCGTACAAAAAGCATGCCGGGCTTAAAGGAAGTCACACTGATGTGTTTGTTGTTTGTTTGTGTTTCAGATGAAGGGCCATACACCAAACACTCAGCCGGGTCCCGACCTCCAGATGGAGCGCTGGCCATCAAGAGGCAGTTTGAGCCGGTGAGTTTGATCTCTTTTGTTCTCCTCTGCCTCCTCGCTCTCCAGCCGAGCTAATGATCACAGAGAAAATAGAACAAGAGCTGCTGCCTGATGTTTTCAGTTGGTGTGACCTGCAGGAAGACGCTTACCATCGCAGTTTGTCTCCTCCCACCTGGAGCTGCTGGCCTACTTCTTCTCAATAATAAGAAATCAAATTCAGGTACCTGAAATCAATGCAGATCCTTATGCTTTCATCCTTCTTTGGTACAAGCATCACTGGCTTACACCACTCGATGATCCCCAGTGACAGCATCAGGTCAACCTCCCTCCTCAGTGAGGCCAACAGACCCTCAGGGGTCCTGTAACTTAATCTTCTCACAGAAGCACCTTCTCTAACAACAATATCATGTTCAACAATATTCATTCTCCCAGGATTCTCCTGGAAAACTTCTGAATTACAGATAGATCTCACCTGAAGCCTTTGGCCGTCTGAGAGGTTACTGAGATCATAGTCTACCAGGTCACTAGAGAGGTAAATATTGTTCAACCACTTCTTCATCTTGCACACTACTTATTAGCATCACTTTTGTTTTTCTTTCAGGTCGCTGCAGCACCTCTTTTAAGATATTTATGTGTAGTACCCTACTGGAGCGTGAGTGCCCTGGTGTTGATACCTGGTATGTTGGCCCAAGTTTCTTAAGGATTTGGAACTTGTGGGATCATCTTGGGCATGCTGTTCATGCCAGAGTGACCAACACAACCACGCTGGTTGACCTTCAACAACTCCTGGTTAAGGAATGGGATGCAATCCCATTCAGAAATGGGACCAGGCTGGTGACCAGCAGGAGGAGGAGGTGCCAAGCTGTTGTGGCTGTGTATGGATCTTCCACACGCCACTAAGGTCCCTGACAGTATAAAATTAATAATGTAAAAATGGCCAATATGTGTTGTTTTTTTCCTTATCACTGTGGGAGAGTGCAATCATCCATTCCACCTAGCAACTCAAAACAGGAGTGAAAACCAACAGAAGAACATTGCAAGGGATTTTGGCACATTTTTTGGGGGCGCTACCCACATGTTAGCTGTGTTGTACATTCCACGAATGCACGATACTTACAAATTATACCTCGTTGTAAAGGTGACTATTCAGGCTTCCCAACGATATAAAATACAACACCAATTAGTATTATTAAAGGGACCCAATAATTGACCAAAAGAATGTTTCCAAACTTTTTTTGAGGAGTTTATATATTCAACTGAAATTAATAAATTCATTTAACTCAATATTTTGACTTTCTGATTGATGTTTATCTCTGATTTGAAGTTTATTTGACTAGAAAATTGTATTTCTTTGGAATAATTATCTCAAATTTTTAAGTTCAGTTAATTTACAATTTTAAGGCACCCGGACACTAACTTTTTTAAGTTATAACAACTAGGGTTTTGTTTTTTTACAGTGTAGTTATTGGAGACATTAAGACCCTCAGCTCTTTAAGACCTCTAAACTTGAAATATTTCATATAATGAGGTGCATTTAAAAACATGCTAGACTACCACCATAGACTACATATGCATGTGTCAAATAATCCTGTAACAGGAGGCTTTTATTCCACCAGAAATGTACGTTCATAAAAGTGTGATGGCTCTTGTTTATCTGACTTAATGTCCATAAAGTGATCATTTTCTTTACCAATGCTTCCTTCCTTAACAAGTATCATATCTAAAATTCAAGATATTTTACTGTGCTGACAGAGACAGAAAACATCACTGAAAATAATAACTCTTAAACTTGAACACTTGTGTTCTGTGTTCAGAAGAGCAATGAATGACATGACTATTATGTTGGACAGTTAGAGGTGTGTTTATTTCATGTGTGCATTGTCTAAGATTGTACAGGAAACATATTAAAACAAAACAATTTTTTCTTCTTAAATAGTAACATGTCTTTGATCATTAGTATTAACATTGAAAAAATCATATGTGAAGATTTTAACAGTCTCATGTTCATCAGTAGGCTATGCAGCCTAGGCCTAATAGCTAATTAACCAAACATATTAGCCTAATTAGTGCATACTCCACATTGTTTATTTTTATAGCTCTTTTAGGCCTTGTCCATTGTACGGTTATTTGCTTTTCTGCATTTACTTTACTATTTTCAAATGATTTAGTTATTGAGCTAAAAAGGATACTGTTCGTATTGATTGTTGGCTTCAGCTTCATAAAATGACATTATGTGACATTTATTGAAATAGGAAATTGCATGAACATATTCAAAGAAGCTCACAGGGCTGCGCGATTTCGACTCTCTTTCTTCTAAAAGATGTTTTTCACGATGCTTAATACATTTATTCGATGGTATTTCCTCCCAGTGATTGCAACACTGGACACAAGCGATGATGAGAGGATAACGTCATTAAGGAACCTCCGTAAAGTTAGTTTTTCCTACAGACATGAATGTAGCACAGTGCCACGTCAGCTGACTGAACTCATGTGACAGTCTGGACCAGCACGTCAACATGGCTGCAGCACAACAGTGAGTGGATTTTTCTCTAAAGTGACTATAAAATATATATATATATATATATATGTATATTTATATACAGAATGCAGGCTGTTAACAAAGTCTTGTTTGTTTTTAATCAGCGCAGTAAAATAAAATGTTACTTCACAAAGCTCAAGAGCTCGTTTAAAGCTGCAGAGTGAAGCTTTCTCAATTTTTAAACTAATAACAAGAAAAAGAAAAAGAAGTTCAGGTTCGTTGAGATGTTCTATAATGCACGTAATTATATTTGGAGAGATATATTTCATATCACGAACTATTTTATAAAATTAATAAAAACACGGTTTCACTGAAGGCAAAAGAGAAAGCACTTTCAATCTCATTTAATCAAAAATAACTAAAATGACATAAGTTATTTAGTGAAAATATAGCATACATTTAGTTATTATAATAACAATTTGACAGAAACGCAATTACGTCATTTTAAACGTAAACGTAATTACACTATTAAATCTTACTTCCGCTACTTTTGATCTGTTAAGATTAAAACTGAAGCAGGCCTATCATAACTACGAAAAAGGGACCTCCGAGGTTTATTACATGAACATCTTAAATGTATGTACATGAGAAAAAAAACTGCGCCACTCGTATTAAGACTACAGTTTCCACCATTATTACTTATTCCACACAGTGCATGTTCATAGTAGTTACTTCCTGTTAGTGTTTTAAAAAGTGATGAGGACATTTGTTTTGTTTGAAAAGTGTAGTGTGCTCTTATCTAAATTATCCAGAGGTTCATTGATGTATACACGATTTAGCTAAAGTGAAGTTACCTGGAGAAAAAAAATCAGAATTGCATTTTAAGAAATTGTATTGTAATCTAACATTTTGAGTGTGTTTCTGCTAAATGTATTTTAAAAGTTGTGAATTGCAACTGAATCTAAATTGATAAGACATTGTGGGGTGAACATAAAATACACTTTTCTTTGTGTCAATGGAACTTGGTTCTTCATAATGTGTTTCATGAAATAAAAATCTAATGATCTACATAGAGCAATATTTTTCTGTTATCAAATCACAACCCAGGCCGCTCATCTGATAAAACCAGAAGAATCTGCTGTGGTAATCATAAAGTTGTCAGCAATCAGCAGACATGAGGGGACTTGTGCCAGAGGTCGGAACAAACACCAGGCACACCCTTTAGATTATGTTATACAGTTTGAGACCATTTAGTCTGCTTGAAAAAAAAAAAGGCATTTATCTTGTTTTCATGAAGTATCGGTAATATATTCTTTAGAAAACTGGACCTTATACATGTTGAAGTTTTTTTTTCTTCTATTCCTGCCTTTTGCTAGCTTTGTTGATTGTGTGGACCGTCTGCTATAAGAACATGGTTTCACACCTCACTGGATCTTATCTGTCCTCACATAAAGTTAAACCTCTGCAACTCATCCACCAGTGAATGATACAGAAATCCTTGATCCAGACATACTGTGAAGTTATTATGGATTAACCTTTAGTAAAGACCAGGGGGAACCTGAAATGTGCCTTTTGTTATCTTATCAAGAAAGCTATGGCCAGTGATCAAGATTTATCACTAGACTTATCAGAAAAAAAGATGAAATTCTGTCTAAATCATTGTCTTAACCCTTAGTCAAGGCAGGCTGGGCTGTGGGGGATGGAGTTTATCTTACTATTTGTACACGTTGTTAATAACAACCACAATACAAGAGGATTATTAGAATTATGGACAGTGTGGCCATATTACTTTCTGTCCTCAAATTTGTTCACCAATCTTAACCCAGTCTAAGAGATATTTAATTGAGGGCTAGTCTCTTAAACCCGAACTCCACAATCGGCCAAACTATTTTGTATATTTCTGTTTTCCCAGACCTGTCTACTGGCTGGGGAACGAAACCCTGAGGGTGTCTGCTGCCCTGTTTGCAGAGAATCGCCAACGTCTGTGCAGTGGGCTGAAGGCCAAAGATGGGTTGGTGCCGCAGTCGATGGTGGTGCTGCAAGGTGGAGAGCAGACGCAGAGGTACTGCACGGACACAGACCTGCTCTTCAGACAGGTAGGTGGTCCCTATGATTCTAGGACTTGTACAAATCTGGTGTCTGAGGTGGGGACAAGGTCATTCCTTAAACTTTTGCGTTGATTTCATATCACAATTGCAAAGGAAATAGATTTATTGGGGTTGGATATAACAAGTAATATTTAATTCTGATTTTAAAGGGTGGATTAAATGGTGTTCAAAAACTTTCAAAAGGAGAAAAATAATGTGCGCACATCCAGGCAAAGTGCATACAGGTGCAGGACAAAAAAATGTACTAACTGCAAAGGCTGGCACACTGTTCAGCCCTTTTTTTTTTAGAAATAAAATGATGAAGGCTTTCAGTGATTTGCTGTGATGTGTTTCTCTGTGAGAGCCTCTAAATTATGGAACCAATTGCCAGTGGTGATTAGAAATTGCACCTCCCACCGTACATTCACCCACTGTTTTAAGGACTGGCTTTTAAGCAATCAAAAGTGTGAACACCTTTTATAGTATTTAATCTGAGTGCATGTTTGTCTGTTGCTATGTATTGTTGTAGCTGTGCTGTCTAACCCATGGTGGTTTGTATGAATGGCTGTATGGTCATATGTTTTAATGGAGCGAGTATATTGGCATCATGTTATACTGTTGTTATCTGTTTGGCACATTTACAGAAATGTTGATTAATGTGCACTGTCCTTTAAATAAATAATTGAAATGAAATGCCCCTCACTAAGATCAGGGGCAACCACTTCCATTTAGGTTTTCTTGTATATCTAACAGATGATTGGCCTCTGGACGGCACTTTTTGTTAAACAATTGTAAAAATAAACATGTTGTACCTGTTTGAAAACTGTGTAAAATGAAAAATTCAAGGCACTGTAGCTGTTCATTTAAGTCAGTGTCAGTCTGATTCAATGTCCCCTCTGAACTTGTTCAGACTGCCTGCAGAATTATTTTTTGGCATATTGTCACAACCCGACTCATAGATTGTGACAAAGTAGGGACACGAGATGAGCTGGTAGTTTTAAAGGTTTTATTTACAATAAACCAGTTCCCTGTATCTACTAAACAGAAAAGATAACAGTCTTTGTCAGGTGATGGATTCTGACCAGAGCCAAAGAATCAGGGACTCAGAGATTCAGTTTCAAAAAACAGCCACAGACAACAGCAGCAAGCCAAAGACTCCCAGTGGCCTGGTTGATTTTAATGCTGGTTGATTGGAGGTGGTTTAAAATTCCATTCTAATCAGATTTCTTTAAATGTGTCCCATCCTGCAAGCTGCAGACTCTCAAATTAGATTTAAAGTGTATTTTGCATCACTTGCAATGCGTTACAAAAACATAGCATGTAATCCAGAGAGACAGAAGTGAATCAGAGTAGCTGAGCAGAATCTATGCTGCTGCTAGCAGAGCTGTGTGAAGGACGACACAGACAACAGTCAGTTGGAAAGTTTGAAAACCGAGGTGACAGATGTCAATTTTTCATTTGTCTACTTCAAATCCCCAATTTGTTAAAGTCACTGAAGCCTGTGTGATTACCTCTGCAACCTATGTAGATATGTTGTTGGTACCTGGAAACGAATAGCACATCTGATCACTTGAAACTGACAGTGCAAATCTGATTTGCCTGAAGTCTGAACAAATTTAAATTGGTTGTTCCCAAAAGCACCCCATAGTGTATTCAGTCTGGGTACTAAAATACCTAATCAGGCTTCTCCTGCGGCAAAGTTCAGAGTCTTTTTTTGTACTGTTCACACTTCACTCTGTCAACAAATATAGGTCAGCCACTCAGAAGAAACATCACTTTTGTCTATGATCTCAATGTTTTAATGAGGAAACTGAACGTATTTTATAAGTGTTATATCCTGAGCTCTGGATCCACATGTGTTTTCTCTTCCCTCCTAATCAGACATAACTTCTCGTGTAATTAGTTGCCTGTTATAATCTCCTCGCTAATGCTCCTGCTGATTCTCACCATTCTACAGGAGTCTTTCTTCCACTGGGCTTTCGGAGTAACCGAGGCTGATTGTTATGGAGCCATTGACGTGGAGTCAGGAAAATCCATCCTTTTTGTTCCCAAGCTGCCTGAGAGCTATGCTACTTGGATGGGAGAGTGAGTTACACTAATCTTCAAAGAGCGCTGTACACGTCCGACAATCAGAACCAGCTGGTGTTTTGCTGAGGGCTGCAACCTGAACGAAGGGTTGACGACATCATATACAGTTACAGTTGACTGTTTTATTATGTGTATTTATTGTTAGTGACACCGGGATGTTTGAGTATAACTTCAAAAGGAAGGCAAAACAGGCAAAGATAGGCAAAACATTTTATTTTTATTTGGACAGCTTCTACACACTCCATAGTGTTTCTGTGTAAGATGTTCAGTGAAACAAACCACTGCACGTAATCAACTGGAAATAACATGCAGGTCCATGACCATGTCACACGTTTGCTATTTCCTTATCTATAAACCACAGAGTATCTTTTTAATCATCTGTCATGTACAAAACTGAGAAGTTACTTCATCAGCATTTGTGTTGGGCTCATCTTAAGTTTTGCTCTTCCTCTTAACTTTTTGTCCTGACTCCACTGTTTGCAAAAAGCAGTCAGATTGTGTTTTAATTCAGTGTGTTATATCAACCAGTGGAGACACAAAAAAATATGTGTCAGTCCATTTTTTTCAAATATGCTATCTTCATGTTCCAAAAATACAATTATGGCTGCAAGAAATAAGTGTTTACAAAGCCATCAGGCTCTTCAAGCTTTCTGTTTCATTTCTTCAAATTGTCAATGAGTGTGTGTGTTGTTTTTATTAATTGCACTTTTCTTTGTGTTCACAGGATCCATTCTAAAGAACACTTTAAGACAAAGTATGCTGTGGATGAGGTGCACTACGCCTGCGATGTAAGTTTGTATGTTTGTGCTGTTTTTTGTGCGTTTGTGTGTGTGTGCGCGAGTGTGCGTGAGTGTGACCTTTTTTCTGTGCAGCAAGTGAACCTTGATGTTTGAATCACTGAGCTATCAAGTTACAATAAAGGACACTACTACCTCTATAGATTGTTTTAAAGGTGAAATCATCATCCTATTTTGGAAACCGCTAGATAAAAAATCAGTCCCATCAGTTCTCAATATGAAAATGTAATAGCTTTGACCATCCAGAAGTGGACATACAACTGTGTGTGATCATTTTAAATGCAATCACTCACTGCAGAAGTTTGCATTTGTAATGATCTCACACAGTTCTTTATTTATTTATTTTTTTACACCATGACCTCCTGATGACTCATCTTGCTGATGTTATTTCTGGTATTTTTTCCACATCTGCACACCTGCCTGAGGTGTTAGATTTCCTAATTAGTCACAGGTTGAGATTCAAATTATCACTTCTGTCAACAGGCACTTCTTCAATAAAGTAATCTCAGCCCCACACTGCAGTGTCAAACAAAGTATATAATCCTGTAACAACTGCCTCTGAATTTGTTTAATTTATAGTGTTATTAGACAAAGAAGTCAGCATTCAGCCGGCGATGCTGCCTGCAGGAGGATCTAAAAGAGAACAATATTTCCTTTTTATCTAAACTAGGTCATGAATGTTTGAGCACTTTTCTATTTTTCTAACGCACACACACACACACACTTTCCTTGGCAGAGCCCTGCTTACATGAGAACACGTAAAATCAGGACTTTGTTCATGTATTTTTGATTTTTGTTTCAAGTATCCAGCTGGTGTTTACCTTCATTATTAACAGTTGGCAGAGTTTTCATTACTCACGCCCTTTGAGTCTGGGATGATATTTAAAGAAAGTATGTATCTGAGTCACACTTCTCTTACCAAACTTTTGCTCTTTAAATTGAGAAGCCCAGGTGTGTTCACATTGCCACTGATTTTCCAAGCTTGATTATGTTGCAAGGCTGCACAGTGGTGAGTGGTTAGCGCTGTTGCCTCACAGCGAGAAGGTCCCTTTTTAGAATCCCCGCCTGACAGGAGCCTCTCTGTGTGGAGTTTGCATGTTCTCCCTGTGCATGTGTGGGATACCTCCAAGTACTCCTGCATCCTCCCACAGTCCAAAGACATGCTCGTTAGGTTAAATGGTGACTCTTAATTGCTCGTAGGTGTGATTGAGTGTGGCTGGTTGTCTGTCTCTATATGTCTCTGTGATTGACTGGCGACCAGTCCAGGGTTTACCCCGCCTCTCGCCCAATCACAGCTGGGATCTGCTCCAGCCCCCCCATGGCCCTTAACGGGAAATAAGAGGTATAGATTATGGATGGATGGATTATGTTGCAGAAAAACCCTCAACACTCTGGAAATTCAAACGTTGTTCAGTCGTACTTTACTTGACTGACACGTATGTTTGCTGCAGTGTTTTAAAAACTCCTGCACACATGAACATGCAGTATCTCATTCATTCAACATATTCAGTCTTTTTTCTAACAATTAAATGGAGCCAGTTTTTTAACTGATCAAATGGTGAAGGCCAGTTTTTTCCCTCTATAGGCAGGTTGAAGTTATCGTTGCAGCTACTTATTTACATCACTTTTTGAATAAGTCTGTAGTCCCAAAAATAATCAGCATGAAAGCAAATATTTCTATGTATCTAAATGAAATTGCAATGAAGATTTTAGGTTTTGGGAAAGTTTATTTTGTGACATTCAATGAATGCTTCAGGATGTGTTTTTATTAATACAAGAAGAGCTCACCTCTCTGTGAACACTAAGTGGTGTATCCGCTGTCTGACATTTAGGCTGTTGGCAGAGGAGTAATAAAGTCGCTTGAGGTGTGTCGTTCAGTGTGCCGCTGAGCAGCAGACAGGCTGCGTAGCCACAACACCAGTGTCTGCCAGAGTGACCTTTTATCCTGCAGCCCGAGAGCAGAAGAAGAAAAACAACCTGTGCGTGTTGTCTTCTAATTACTCCCTGTCTGCCTCCTACAGATTGCTGATGTTCTGTCCCACATGAGCCCTGAAGTTCTCCTCACACTGGTACGCTGTTTCCCTCCCTGAATTAAAAACCACTGTTGCCCTGCACTGCACTGTAGGTCCCTCTGATTGGGGCTAATTAAATTCTTATGAAAGTCAATTTTGATCATCTAAAGTCTGACTTAGAAGACTTTCATGTTTCATTAGTCCACACAGTGTGTGCTGGGGTATAAACCAATTCAATGAATAGTTTTGACATTTGAAAGGACTTGTTAGTGATGTCATTTCACTTGTTTTGCATGTGTTTGTGTTTTCTATGCAGCGAGGACAGAATACAGATAGCGGGAGCATCTGCCGTGAAGCCTCCTTTGAAGGAATTAGCCGGTATGTTCAATTGGCATCACTTTGCATTTACATAATTATTTGTTTGTGTGTTTGGGAGGTTATTGTTTTTTTTTTTATCTTTCTTTATTTCTTTTTAACCAAGGATACAACAGACTCTCATGCATACTGATTATAGCTGATTAACCTCATTCTGAATACAATTGAATTGAGAAAACAACAGTGCTTTTGCTTGTTAGTTATCAACTAATGGGAATGTTTCTGTTGGCCTTAGCGCTGGGCTTTGTTCTTTCTTCAGATGCATACTTAACTTTTGAGCTTTTCTTTACTCTGAACCTTACTGCTTTGAAAAAAGTGTTATACAATTATTTCAAGGCTTAGAAATACATTTGCATTCAATTGTATTTCAATAAGGGGAGTTTAATTGGAAGCCTATTATAAAAAAAATGTATGCAGGGAATTTAAAGATTTTTGTTGTTGTTCTTGAGTAGCATGTTAATTAACGGTTGAAATACATGAAGATAGAAAATGTTTGCAGGATCCCCCAGAGTCTAGATGCAGGTGGTGGACATGCTGAAGGATGGGGGGGTTGGTGGTGGGGTGGATTAAATTTGTTGAAGCAGAGTTGTTGCAAGCAAACTCCTTCACACCGTCTATCTTGCAAAAAAATACATTTATGGATGTTTGGGGGGGTTTTCCGGGGGTGGGAACTGATGAAGGTGAAAAACTATATGCAATTCCAGATGGTCTCTTTCCTCTCCTGTCCTGTGAAATAGATGTGCAAAGTATTGTTCTGCTTCTGCATTCGAGTGGTGAAAGTCAGGATTCTATCAGACATGTTCACACATATAAACGTGAAAATGTACAACAGTTATATTGTTAAAGAGCCAAGGCAACTGAAAAGAAAGATTAAAATGTAGTACGTCATTTGTGACATCAAAACACAAATATCGTGTCAACTACAAAAAAAAAAGACAAATAATTAGTTTGTCAGTCGTTCTATAATGAGTCACATATTATAAAGCCAAAATGTCGGATTAGAGAGGGACTGATATTCTGATATTCAAACTTTTACTTTTGTCTAATGGCAAAGCATTCAATACCTCCATTGCTCGGTACACAGCAGTACAGTGACTCGCATTCAATTTTCTAGACAGGAATTGAAAATCAAAGATACGAGACAGGAGATCTTATTGAACTCTCAAACAAACTTTAAATTTATGTCAATTGTTGTTAACGATTCTTATTTCTTTGTTACAGCTTCACAGTCAACAACACTTTCTTACACCCTGTCATTGTGGAGTGGTGAGTACCTCACATATCTTTAGTATATAGAATTCAGTGAGCATACTGTAGACGAGAGAATAAGAACTTTACTCTCTCTCTTAATTACCTGAAAGTTTCTTTAGTCCGATCCTGCTTCTTTTTTACACTCACAGACCTTAACAATTAAAACCTCCGGTCAGGTAATTGTGTGTGTGCAATCAGAAACAGCAGCTTTTTTCTCCGGCTTGTTTTTCCCCTCTTAGACTCAGTAGCTCGTCCGCACGGGTGTAATGGACTTCGTGCTCGCCTGGTTGTCCGTGGCATTAGAGTTTGCACCCTCTAGATGAATTGACATTTTCTCAAATAAGGAGGAATGCTTCTCAGGCACACCTCCTGGGGAGACGGACCTGATTGAACCCCTCTGCCCCCTCTTCTCTGCAAAGCTCGCACTGCTCTCTTTTAATGGGCTGTTTCTTTTTTTTTTTCATTCCCGTTACTATTGGTTACCACTGCTTGGATTATTTATCTGCTTCTATTATTGTAGGAATCATTAACACTCTCCAGTATCTAGCCACGTCCGGTGCAGAATGAGAAATGTAAGATGAGCGGGCAGAAAACTTTCAGTTCTGTTACCGTCTTGAAGCTCAGATTTTAATCAAAGACTGTAATACATTTTAATGTAGTTTGAAATCATTTTTAGCAGATCTATAGCAGAAGATTACAAGAGTTTTCCACTGGAATATCAAAACATGACAGGTTCAATCTGTCTATGGAGATCCTGGAAATGATGGCGCACTATCTGAGAGACATGTTCTCCACATTAGATACTGAAACATCAGGTTAATACAGAAAAATGATTTAAAACAAAAATGCTTCTTTGGCAGCCATTATTTTATATTATTTGTGGCTTCATCATAGGCATTGACAATCTCTAACTCCTGGTTTATTTCTGTGTGTGCAGCCGTCTGACTAAGACCGACATGGAGCTGGAGGTCCTGCGCTACACCAACAGGATTTCCAGCGAGGCTCATAAAATGGTAAGATCAGTGTGCAAGGGTATATCTCACAATTTCAAACAATAAAAAAAAAGGAATAAAAAGAGAAGGTCACAGAATGAAATAAAACACCCAACGTATCAAGCTGCTTATTGAGTTTAAGACTCGCCCAAAGGAATCAAGATGTCAGCATCCTCTAGGGCTATAAACTGTTTAAACACTATCGACTTAAACTTCAGCCAGTAGCTCGCAGGCTGGCAGTGAGATAGCCTCTGACCAATAAGCTGTACCATTAAAGCAATATTTAACTTCTGCACAGGATTTCACTTTATCACTATGAATAACATCTTTAGGGGTTGAGCTGCTGTTAACCTCTCACATTGATCTCTCCTCTAAAATCCCTGACCATGAGCGGTCAATATCGTTTCTTTTACAAGTGCAGTTAAAAGACCTTCAAGAGGAATGCTTATACCCATGATGTGTCCCCAAAGTAAAGATCCAACTTTTCCAATAGTTGTGTGGTAAAAACAGGAGATGCTCCCACAAATCAGCAGGGGCCAGAGGGCACTCAGACTTTTTTAAACTCTTTTTTTCCTGCTTTTTTCCTTCAGTCTATTCTTTCTAAGGGTTAATCCACAAAATATTTTTACTGTGATAAAATGAGACAGTATAAGCATCACATACAAAGGAGAAAAAAGGCATAATGTATCAACATTTTATTGGACTCTACCGTCAAGTACCCACTGACAACAGTTATGAAGGTTTGGTTTTTGTGCATTTAGTGAATATTAACTTGAGGTTTGAAAGTGTCCTAACTGCGTATTATTTCTCTTCTTTCTCTGAAGATCATGAAGCATGTCAGACCTGGCCAGAAAGAATATGAAATGGAGAGGTAAACATTGCATGTTTCTCATGGATGTATGATGTATATTTATGAATGTGTTACAGTTTGTAAGAGAAATCATGCTAACACAATCACTTTTTTAACCCCGTTTTATATACTCCAGAGATCATTTAGGGCTGCCCTCTTTGACATTGACACATAGCATGAAATGCAAAGAGGAAATACAATACAAAGAAATAAAAAGGCTTAATTCTTTAGAATCCATTTTTTTTTTCTAATGGAGGGGATAAATAAGATAATTAAAGTGAAAAGACCCAAAACCTGGGGGTGCCAGTGGCCTAGTGGTTAGTGTACAGAGGCTATAGTCCTCCAAGCCTGCAGCCTGGGATTCAAAACCCAGGCTGCAGCATAAAAGCATTAAAAATATATATTTAAAAAATAATAATAAACCTCCATCCATCCATCCTTATCTATATCGCTTTTTCCTGTTTGGGGTCGTTGGGGCGCTGGAGCCAATCCCAGCTGTGATTGGGCGAGAGGCAGGTTACACCCAGGACCGATCGCTAGTCAATCACAGGGCTGACATGTAGAGACAGACAACCAGCCACACTCACAATCACACCTACAGGCAATTCAGAGTCACCATTTCACCTAACGAGCATGTCTTTGGACTGTGGGAGAAGGCCGGAGTACCTGGAGAGAACACACCATGCACAGGGAGAACATGTTAAGCCCACACAGAGAAGCTCCTGTCCTACAAGGATTCAAAACCAAGACCTTCTCTCTGTGAGGCAACAGCGCTAACCACAGCACCACCGTACAGACGTACAGGAAGAACATTTATGAAGTCATTAAAATGTGAAATATGAAACAGTAAAGTTAATCCATTATGAATAGAGGTGTTGAGATGTAAGAGTAAGTTTCTTATATTCAGCTCAGATGTGTAGCCCTTTGCTGATTGTTTTGGTTTGTAAAAACAAAATTCAAATGTTCTTTACATTAGTTGAAATAATGTGCGGGTCATTACCAACACAGGGTTATTATTCAATTGAAGATAAGCCCACAAAATCCCAATTTAGTATTCCTCGTGTTTAAAAATGTTTCACAGCAGAACCATTATATTTAAAACATAATTTTATGTCAGAGCAGCTGTCACTCGTTCTGATGAGCCTTTCGGTGTCTTAAAAGATCCAGGAAACATGAGCTCGTCATCTTTCACAGCGTTTGATGTGTTGGACTGTGTGATGATTAAAGAGTCACTGAATGAATTATAAAAAAAGCACGGAGTCATGACGAGGGCAGAGAAAGTCTGTCAGTTAATGAGTGCCTTCTGTGGTGTCTGTTGTTTCAAATGTTTGAGTTTGTTTTTCTTACTGCCTTTATTTTCCTCTGCAGCCTCTTCCAGCACTACTGCTACAACAAAGGAGGGATGCGTCACACATCCTACACCTGTATCTGTGGAACGTAAGGCTTCACAGAAAGTGTCTAACTGTTTGTGATCGGGGCTGATGCTTCTTCAGAGATTTATGCTCACAACATATGGATGTGTTGTGTGAGAGAGGCTTTGAGAAGAAGAGATGCACACACCTCCCAAACATCCATGAAAGTGTGTTGAGCAGACCTGCATGTCAAGACAAGCTGATTGGTTGATTGTTAAGATCTGAAGAGCTGATGTAGAAAAAAAACAACTTAATCACATACAGACATATAATGTCTTTATGCGATGTCTCCTGAAGGAGTGTACTTACTCTCTAACTCACTTCCCAAGGTTAAAAATGACTCCGTTTTTTGACTAGTTCCATTCCTGATGAAAAAATAAAAAATAAGGATATCGTCTTGAATAGTAAAAAGGTTAGCTTGGAGGTAAAAAAAACAAAAAACAGTTGTCAGTTTCAATCTTTAGACCATGAATTGATGCTACAGTAAATATTTTTTATCTGCTCCAAACCAGGCAGCTAGAAAATACAACATCCAAGGGTTCCTGGTTGCTCGGTTACTGTAAGGTAGCAGCCTCAATTATGTCTGAAGGATTTTCAAACATTTTATAACCCTTTAGCCTTTTGTATTAAAGGTCACGTGTAATGAGTTCTTCCTGAGGATTAGTGGCCAGTGGATGCAAGTGACCGTCCTGGTTAAAATTAGACTTCAAAAATGAGTAAATGATCTCCACAGTGTTCCTACAGAGACGCACTGTGTCTGGCTTTAATAGTCACAAGGAAAAATATATTAGATGACGCATCAGAACACTATAATTGAATTAGATTTGTGTATTTTTATTCCTTTTTAACAGGGGACACAACTCCTCCATCCTTCATTACGGCCATGTTGGGGCTCCAAATGACAAGACGATTGCAGATGGAGACATGTGGTACGTTTTTGATTTGAAGATCCTTCTGCACTCATGACAAGAACCCAGGCGTCATTCATCCAGATAGTGACAACACCGATACTCATGACCCCTAAAAGCTCCCACAACCCAACCCTGAAACCAGATGTGCAGCGAGAGCCAACCCATCACCTCCCTTCACCGGTGTTATGTAAAGTTAGGCCCAGGACACCTCGGGAATGCTCTCCAGTTAGCTCTGATTTCTCAGAGCCACCTGCTGCATGCTAGCCCTCCCCGCCCATCATACTCACCTGCAGAACTTCTTTGTGCTATATAACCTTAGTAGGGATGTTTTAGGGACGTATTTCTCGGTTGATTTAACAGAAATTTGAAACATTTAAAAAAGTTTGTCATATTCTTCAATAAGGAAATTGACGGCTATTTAATTGAAATGTGTGTCATTTTGAACGTGCATTACTCTGCGGGTAACCAATGTTCAACTAGTGTGCCGTGTGCAGCTAGCTTTAGCAGTGGTAGCACCACCAGCTTTCAAGATACTTGCAGGTTAATGTCCACCTGCCTGTCCTGAATCTGGTTATATATTGGGTGATTTTGATGACAGTTAAGTGATTGTATGCCGGTTTACCTTTGTGCTCCTACGAGATGCCATTAGTCCACTTTGCTCATTAACTGGAGCTACAGCCCCACCTAGTTGTGTGTGGCTGCATTACAGCTTAGACACAACTGTTAACCGTAGATGTGGGCCTACTTTTATAACAGACTAGGAGTTATGATGCCAACTAGAGAGGCTGGCAACATTTAATATTTAAGTGACTCATGATGAACATCCCTAATCTTTATGTAAAAAATAAGTTAAAGAACTCCCACTACCATTATACACATGAAAAAGAATGTCATAGAGAAGACAGCATTTAGCTTTTGACTTAATACACTAAAAGACGTGTAGAGACAATAATGACGTGATCACGTGATGATTTATCTCCTGCAGTCTGTTCGACATGGGTGGAGAGTACTATTGTTACTCCTCAGACATCACCTGCTCCTTCCCAGCCAACGGAAAGTTCACTGCAGACCAGAGGGCCATCTATGAGGCGGTCCTCAAATCCTCCCGAGATGTCATGGCTGCAATCAAACCAGGTTATTATCATTCTGCCTATCAAGTAAACATACTAACCAATATAGATTAATTCACAGTCTAACCTTGTGCCCTAACACAAGTTCTATCTATGATACAATAGTGTGTTCAAAATAAATAATGCTCTTAGTTTAGTCCCTGAAAGTTAATTTTTCTATGTGCTGTTATTACTTTTGATCTTTTAGACTTTGATTTTTTCCCCATGGTATAACCTGCGACTCTACCTTTTGTAAACCCTTACCTTAAAGAGCGATGATAAGCCATGATGCTAACAGGGCTAAATGCTTATTGTTGTCTTTTTCAGGCATCTTTTTTTGTGTAGCAGTTATTGTACTGATTGACTCAGTTTTCACTTTTAATTCTTCAGTAGTAAAATGTCTTAACTTTTATAAACCATTCCTCAGATCTTTCAATTATTTTTTAGATAAATACAATTTTAACCTGGTCTTGGACTTAACCTTTGTTTTGAGAGGCTTCATTAAACCAATCCTGTTTTATTCAATAACAATACTGTTTTGTTTAAGGTGTTAAGTGGACTGACATGCACCGCCTGGCTGACAGGGTTCACCTGGAGGAGCTGGTAAAGATCGGCATCGTGACCGGCAGCGTGGAGGACATGTTGAAGGTCCACCTGGGCTCCGTCTTCATGCCCCACGGCCTTGGACACCTGCTGGGCATTGATGTGCACGATGTGGGGGGATACCCTGAGGTGAGAGCAGGAGACACAAAACAACCAGTAGTTCCAGTTGTAACAAAGTCACCAGACGGTAAAAGAAGAAGAACACACTCCTCTGTTCCTCCAATATTGATGTGTCATCAATAATAGAGAGACAGTTTGTGAAAAGAATGAGCAGGAAAATAACAAGTGGACACACTGGAGGAACAAGTTCAGGCTGAGGTCAGGGAGAGGAAGGCGACATGACAGCTTAAACTCTGAACACAGATGCTCTCAGGTTGTGGTGGAGGATTTTGACAGTTCAGCTGAAAAAGACAAATGAACACAGTTGACAGTTAACCCACAGAAACCCCAGAGGAAGAGCTGACTCTTCACACTGACGGTGTCAGCGTGGGAAGCATGTTTTATAATATGAATACAGTGCTCAGTCCTCTGTGGATGCATGACGAACTGATGTGTTTGTTAGATTTAGTTAGACAGATTGCATACAGTGAAATGACTTCATGAAGTGAAGCTAAACCCAAATTCAGACGATGTCAGAGAGGCGTGCTCGAGTTCGCATAATCAGTCCAGCAAGGTTAAACAGAGGGCATCTAATTTTTTTCCTATCAAATTTAGTTTATTTTGTTAGTTTAAAACAATCTATTCATCATAGATAATCATTTTTTTAACTAAATGATGCCGGCCTCAAGTATCAAAAGCATCACCTCAAGTAGTAGCCTTAATGCTCTGCTGCAGTTTACCTTAACTCCTACTAGCTGAAGTATGTTGATATTGATGTTAATAATCTGTGTTGTTGTCCAGGGGCTTGAGCGTATCAACGAGCCTGGACTGAAGAGTCTCCGGATGGGCCGTCTGGTTCAGGAGAGGATGGTGCTCACGGTGGAGCCGGGCATTTACTTCATCAACCACCTGCTGGACGAGGCCTTGGCCAACCCCGCACAGAGCTGCTTCATCAATAACCAAGTGCTGGCTCGCTTCAGAGGCTTCGGAGGGGTCAGTCTGCCTACGCAGAGTTATTTAGTTGTTTCATTGACCTTATTAAACAAAAGAGCAATCACATGTTAAAGTTACATTTTCCACTTCCACTGAAATGTACTCACCACACAGACAAAGCACTGAGAACATTATACTTAATCCTCAGGATGAAAACATTTCATTGATCTTTATCTGCAGATGGCTTAATGGCATTTTTAATACTATGGGAATGTTTAAAAATGTATCAAATTAAAACTTGTATAGGACCTTTGTTTAGAACTTCGGCCGAATGAATATGGATTTTTACGTTATTTCTGGTAACTCGTATTCTCCTTCTTTGTGCTGAGTTTGCCTTTTACCTTCTCTGCTGTGTTTGACTGACTGCTGTGTCTCTCCTGTGTGCAGGTCCGCATTGAAGATGACATTGCAGTCACACATGACGGCATCGAGCTGCTGACCTGCGTCCCCCGCACCGTGGAGGAGATCGAGGCTTTCATGGCTGAAACTGCGAAACCTTTCAGCCCTCTCGTCAGCGTCTGATTGACGTCTCACAGTTAAGATGAAAACATTGTGATTTCATTCCTTACTTTAAATGAAGAACAAAGATTATTCTTTGGTAAAAAATGGAAGTTCTTACTCTTATATCTCACCTGTACAACAGAATACACAATCAAGATGATTATTGAGTCATAGAATCAAAAACATGTTTTTCAAAACAGCATCTTTACGAAGCTGTCACAATGTTTTGAAAATTGTGCAGCGGTCACTTAAAGGGAAAAACTCCACCTGAACACATGTCAAGTGTTCATGTATGTGCCTCTTAGAGAAACACAAATTATTTTTTATTTTATTATGAAATTTGTATTCTTCTGTGTTCCTCTTTGTAAACATTGATTCACAAAATGCTTTTGATTTCAATTAAAGTCTCAACATTTCAACCTTTTGATAGCAGTTTTTTTTCTCTTTTTATTTATCAGTCAAATGTCAATGAGTAGTCACTCTTCATGTTATTGGACAGGAAGATTTTCTCACTCTTCCATTTAAAGATTGTAACGTTCCCCCCAGTAAACAAAATCTGACTGACAGAGGTCGCGAGTTTGGAAACAAACAACACACTACGTTTTACAAAAAGGTACCACATAAGTGGGCCTTGGGTTTCTTGAAGGTGGAAGGAAAACATAGCACCTTCAAAACCACCCACTGATTCCATCAAAACTGACAAAAATACAATTCGAGTCCAAATCAAAAGATAAGTGGGAGTCAAAGAACAGGGGGGGTAATGGAAGGAGTCACAAATAGATTTTCAAAACACAAACACAACTAAGATCTCCATTCAAAAACAAAAGCACAGAACGCCAACTGATGGTGTTAACTCTCTGGATGCACACAGCCATCTGAGAAAAGAAACTTCCACCTCCCAGCCCAGATGATTGTCATCAGCCATCAGGTGAGGGAGAGCATCACAGGTGCAGTCAGTCGCTCTTGATGAGCAGAGAAACCCGTCCATAACAAGATGGAGCAGAATTATTTAAAATTGAATTATAATAAGTGTTTTCTATAAGACAGCCACTGTTCTCTAGATGGATGACTTTAATAAGAAACTTTCATTAGAGGTCATTTCTGTATTCTACATACTGTAGTTTTTGCTTCTCTTGAACATCCTGTTGGGAATGCAGCACTCAGGCCTTTAGGTTGGCATACCCAGAACAGTTATTTCCCTTATAGGTTGAATCGTTGTATATGTTTGTCATCTTGAACTTAAACAAGATAACATCAGAAAAATGCATGGATCAGAAGTGTGTGTATACTGCTTTAAAGGGGGTTAAAACATTCATCTAAAACAGCTAAACTTGTGTCGTTAAGGTCTGAATCGGGAAATAAAAAAGAATTAAAAAAACAGGTTCATAAACCTGCGTTAGTGGTAACTTTTTCATTGGGTCAAATATGATGAAAGCCTACAGGGCATTGTTATGTCAAATACCTGTTGGATTCACGTAAAGAAGTCAACTGTTAACAATAACAATACTGTTTTGTTTAAGGTGAGAGACTTGCCAGTTTGGTTTAAATGGGATTGCAATAAATATTTGTTTAAAAATCAGTGTATGACTGTACACAATGTTATTTATTGAGAGATGTCAGAGTGAGGGGGCTGCACACCCATGAGCAGTTAAAATGATGGTGCTTTGCTCAAGGGCACATCGACAGTGCCCAGGAAGTGAACAGTGCCTCCACGGCAACCAGTCCCAATTTCATAGTTGGTCCATACCAACATACCGAGTCCTCACAGTCTGTGCTACCGTCGCCTTTTAAGGTATTATTTCCCTTTTTTCACTAAAGCAGCTGCTCTGTTAGCATCCATGGTTGACTGAATGCCTTATGTTTGTGATACATATAAATTTTTGTAAAAGCTGTGAGGACGTAACACATCAATAACACTTTTTAAAGGAGGGAGTATTGTCTAGACGCATAAGAACACTAGCAAGAATTAGCCACCAGAGGCCGCTGTCATTCAATAGAAAAAAATCTATGCGTACGTCTGCCTCCTACAGAGACAGTTTACAGTGTAAACTAGAGTTACACAGTGATCAACTATGACGTGCTGTTAAAGAATTCAGCGCTGCAGCCATGTTCAATCTAAAAAAGGCAGAATACGTCCAGAAGTCAGCCGTAGGGAAAGACTGTTCAGGGTTTCCAGACCTATTGAATGTTGTCAGAGGTGGAGGCAACGCTCATCAATCTTCCACTGAAAAAATAAACTCTGCTCAGAAAACACATCGAGGAGATCCGGGCTGTTAATGTCAGGTCATCTGATGCCCGATATCAAAGTATCAGTAGCTTCTTGATATTAAAGAAGAGAAAACAGATTGATGTTTCCCCTCCACATTTGAGTCACACTCACCACAACACAGGATGTCAGCTGCTTTGAGAATGGTACAGGCCACTGTGAACAATTTAGTTTTAATAAACAGGCTACATCTAGTGATTAAACATTTCATTTTATGGGAAAAGTTATGAAATGATAAACAACAACCCATGAAATAGGAATAACTGGTCTTTCAAGGCCTCTTAAATCATGGTATGGCAGTCTGTTAAAAGAAGTAAGACATTTGAATCTATTATTATTATTACTACATTTATATTATTTTTTCCCATTAAGATGCTTCCAAGAGACAGATAAAAAAAAGCATTATCAAACGTGAATTTTAATATAAAAAATATATATATTATTGTCCTTGGCAAAAAGTAATTCACGAAAAACTTTTTTTTTTTTTTTTTAGATATATCCGTAGTGTAAAGGACAAACTTGGACAAAATATCTATATGTGAAATAGAGCAGTAAAGATCCACTGTTTTTAAATCCCTTGAGAAAATCTTTGATAAAATGAGACAAGTTTCATCTTGAAAATAAAGTAGCGTCCATTTACTAGGTGTAACGATTCTCCTGATCTGTTGTTGTAATACCACGTTTGTCCTCTAGATGGACGACTTGAATAACATACTTCAAGCAGAATCATTTAGTGTAAAGTTTGCTTTTCATTGGAACAGTTATTTGTAATTTGTTTATTTCAGTTTGTTTTGAAGAATTCTCAAGAAGACTCCATGACTGTCAAATATTTAAAAAAAACAATAAATTAATTTTCCTATGTGTCAATTGTTAAATTATGAAGAATTTGGGTATTCTAAAGCAATAAGTCTGGATTATTTTGTTACAAAGTTTTTTTTTAAAGGTTAAAAATGCACACGAGTCATGGTGAACTTAAAAACTGATGCACTGCAGTACTTACAGATCAGAGGTATGTTTATTGTGCGTGGAGGGTACTGATAACATGTTATACAAAAACAATTGAACAATCAAGAGGTACAGTGTGTAGGTTTTGTATGAAAATGAAAGAAGGGGTATATGGTGTACTATAAATGTAAACCACATATAAACTGTACCAGATAAATAATCAAAAATACTGTCATGATTCATCTATACAATCAGATATTAACAATATGAATAATTCAATGTATTTATGATTGGTGATTTAACAAGAATCGTGGAATGATCGTCTCCCACAGACAATACACACGCAATTTTTATTTAATTTCTACCAAATATGTGAGTTTTTTCACCATCTGCTTCTACCATCCAGGTGTGGAATGCCTACAGTCAGTTCAGAGGCTGTGATTGGTGGAGACATGGCAGGGGCTTTTTATCCCCACAGCCAGACAGACAGGGGCCACTGGTGGCCGATAAAACCAGCGTCCTCCCCTGGGGAGCCACATAAATAAATAAAGAGGGCTATTTTCTCTCCAGTTACTGGAAGGACCGTTTGAGAACCCTTAAAAAAGATCTTTATCATTCACTCTGTCATACATACATATGTACATCCATGTTACATAGGCTGCATTTAAACCTCATGGTTATCCATGATTGAAAATAAAACTGGTTTTACTGGTTAAGATGATCAGAAAAACCTCATCTGTGGCACAAAGAGTTGACATTCAGAGATTCTGCTTGTGATTCTATGCTGTGTTATGGATGTACCTTTAGCACCATCTAGGCTTAGATACACAATATTTGTTAAAAAAAAAAAAAAAAATGTCATTGTCTTCAGCTTGAAAATGTTACATATCTTTGGTCAACAAAGTGGATGTTAAATAGTTGATAATAAGTGAAACACCAAATGAAATCTGAGCAAAAATCTGAGCATCATAGTGTAAAAAAACAAAAGAGTTCATATACTTTCTTATATAAAGTCTTCCTAAAACGTTTTCAGGAACTCTTCTCTTCAATCTCCTGTAATACATCAAGAGCTGTTATTTGCAGTAGGAGGCTGAAAACTGCTCTGTTTGAAAACAAGGTGGATCCTTAATTTGAAATGCTGTGTAAAATCCATTTTTTGTATGTTTGTGGTTTGCTTCTGATATCTCTCACCAAACCAGCGCTCTGTTTATGCAGTGAGTGGATTCCTTGCCTCAACAATTCTTAGATATTCCTTTTTCCCTTTAGCTGTTTCCAAACGACTCAACTGAAGTGTTCCTTCTTCAGCTTCAGTCCTTGGCGCCCATTTACGCCAAGGTCCTGTCAATCCTTTCCCTGGGCAGGCCAAGGGAGGAAGAGTGCCTGCAACGGTTTTTGAGTTCTTCCCAATGTTGGGCTTTCGGTAGAGAGTGCTAGCTGCGAACCCGCTTGATGGACTGTCTGTGGGCCACCCGAGAACATGAGGCACAGCATGTCATCTTGTAGTAATCATACACACAGAGGCGAGCCTGAACCACCACGTTGCAGTTAAAGTATTTGTCTCTGCAATTCTCATCTGAAAGGGAAAAAAAAAGTTTTTTCTTATTATGAAGATTGAGTAAATCCTACAGAGTTTTAAACATTTATAGCCCCTAAATGCTGCTGAAACTACTTCTGTTGAAGTTTCAAATCCAATGCCTTGCTTTTTCCCCACATAGCCCCGGGGAAAACTCCCAACACAGCGGCATTGAGCAGGGGGCATATGAGTATCCCCCACACCTGCCCGGCGCCTCTCACCCTGGGCAACGCAAGAAAAGGAGAGAGTCCAGCCCCTCTCCAGGAGTTTGGTTGCAGAACCGGTGCTGTCTGTTGAGGTGAGCCCAACTATATCTAGCTGGTAGCGCTCCACCTCCAGCACCAGCTACTTCCCCCACCAGAAAGGTGACGTTCCTGCGCTGCCAGGGATTAGCATGCTAAGGCAATCCACCTATGCCTGCCACCCTGGCTTGGCATGCACCAAACCCCCATGCCTCTCCCTGCTGGTGGTCTCTGCCCTGAATACCTCTCAGACCTACTTACACCGTGTGAGGCACCCAGACCGCTCAGATCTTCTGGGGCAGGCCTCCTTACTGTGCCCAGAATAAGAACAAAGCAGACTGAGGGGGCTTTTGGTTTGTATGCCCCCCACCTCTGGAACAAATGGCCAGAGAGTCTGAGGTGTGCTAAAACAGTTGACACATTTAAATCAGGGCTCAAAACATTTCTGTTCAATGTGGCATTTGAGTAAACCACCATGTCAGTTATTAGAGACATTTACCTACTTTGCTTTGTTTTACTCACAGATATGTGTATGTGTGTATTGACAATACGTTTTTACTGTTTTCTTTTGATCAATTACTTTTTATTAAACTTATTTGTATCTAAATCTTATTTTTACCTCAACTTATATTGCCTTCTTCTGTGTTTATTGTTTTATTATTATCTTGTGAAATGTTTGAAATGCTTTTTGTGCCTGTGTAAAGCACTTTGAATCGCCTGGTGTCTGAAAGGTGCTATATAAATAAACTTGCCTTGCCTTACAGGGCGACGGCTCCATCTTGTTGTTTCCATGTCTGCTGCTTCATAAGATCTTTTTTTTTGACTGATTCTTTTCACTTAATATGTGCTGCCTTTGAGTAATACCATCAGGAAGCACTCCATAAGTAGTCATTGTTATACAGATGATACTCAAATATACAAAAGACGACAAAAGGGATTTTGCTTGGCCATAAGCACCAAAGAGGCATGTTAGCTAATGGTACATCTAGCCTAATAATACCATAATACCTAATCTAATAATAATGTTGTAATATAATGATATGACTGACCTATTTGAGGTATGCAGGGCTCTGGGTTGCAGTCCTCCTTGTCTGCTGGTTTCAGCTTCTCGTCACAGCCCTCGCTGGAGAGCATGTCATCAGACAGGCAGCGCACCTCCCGAACACGGAAACCTCTCTCACATGTTTTTGAACACTGGAAGGACAGGAGTCAGTGAGATCAGCCAGAAGTAGATGAATCAAACTCCACCAACAGTGTGTCTACTGGTGGCACTTCAGTGACTTCGCTAACATTCACTTTCAATGTCTAGAGGATCAACCTACTTTAAAGAGGACATATTATACCCCTTTTCCACCTTTTCCACCTTTTAAAACAGTCCCCTGTGGTCTAAATGAAACATCTGTGCTGTGTTGTGACTCCAAAATGGCCCTGTTGGCCATTACCCAGCTAGTAGGCGTAATAGGGAGTAGACATGTTGCTTAAGGGCATCTAAACAGCCAAATGGAAACAGTTTTTTTATCCTACTCACGGAGCTCCAGTCGGTGTGGTACCACTTTGCTCCACATGCCTTCAGGTGGCAGCTTTGCTGGCCGAGGGGCCGATCCAAAGATGAGCACTCGTACGGTGGCATGACGGTGAATCCTTCATCTGATTTTACTAGGCACACCACTGACCTCTGCTGACTGCCTGCACCACACTCTGCAGAGCACTGCTCACATGTAACAGGACAACATATGGATTCAATTACATACAAACTGAGACAGAAGAAATGCATGTCACTGTAAAATCAACTTAAATCCCATATAATTAGCTACTCCAGACAACCTCCTCATAAGCCCTGCCTGACCTTCAGTCAATCCTCATACCTGGCTCCACGGGCCTGTGAACCACTCGATGCGGTTCTCACACGGGCCGTTGTTGCAGACCTGAGAGTCGGCGGGCCGCTCACTGCCGCAACCCGCCAGAGGAAGACTACTGATGTGGTTGGTCAGGCAGAGGATTCCTCTGGATCGTACTCCCATCCCACATTCAGCAGAACACTGTGGAGTAGAAACACTGGTAATGAAATTCATGAACCTGCAAAAAAACATATTTCTCTTCTCTTTACATACGCTAGTGACGGATTTTATTTGATAAAAAAACTGAATGACTGTGCACTAACTTTTGAATCTTGCTCGCATATCCTTAGCTCTCTTGCTGATAGCTTAGTCAAAAGGTTCTATACTGTAAGTTTTAACAGCCAAGAAATATGCCCAGTTGTCAAATCCTATCAAAGATACATTGTATATCTAATACAACAACATTGTTATTGCATAAGAACTTTATAAACTGATGATTTTCCAGCTCTTGGACAAATCCACAGGAGGAAGAAGTTTGCTTTATAGTGAAACTTTATATTCTAAATTAAGGATTATGTTTCAAGTGACCACTTCACAAGCAGGATAATTCCCTGATGTGCCCATGCAGGAAGATATGGAGTTCTGTTCTGGCCTCCACTTGTCCATGAATCCTTGAAAATATAGGTCTACATCTCCTCAGGCATTGTCCCTTACTTAAGTTAAACAGGAGCTTGTCAAATAAGATGTCCCTGCTCCTGTTAGTGTAATTTACTGGTGGTTTTGTCTCCCAGTCTGAATTATTCCTGTCTACAGCCACTAAATCTAAGCTAAGAGAAAATCTTTTTAACTGTTATAATGACACTCTATCGCTGCATTTTCAGGCTACATAAAAAACGTAAAAAATAATCTGAGCCAATATTCACAAACATTCTGACAATACTCCGTAAGAGCTCCTCACGAAAGCTTTAAAAGATCTAGCTTATTGATTAGTCGGGAACGTTATCAGAGTATATAGGGAGGGGACACAAACGTTTATCGTACTGGAGAGGAGGCTAGGTATGACACATTCTTTCAAAAAGCTGTGATTGGTGGATCCAAAAAAGACACTCAACACTCTGGTTGTGGTAATTGGCATTGAAGGACATTGAGTAGATCAATCAGCCTTATCACAGAATCTAGTCAGACGTTGTTCATTTATGATCATGTGAGCCACAGATGATTAAATATAGATCTGACCTTAACATTAGACCTAACATTGTATCCAAGCTATGTTTCCAAATGTCACATTCTATTTTAAAGATCTTAACATTATCTGAATGCTTAAAGATAGACCTATACAATGACTACCACTGTTATTAGAAATGAATGGAAATCTCTATGCCTCCATTTAACTGTAACACCTACCCTGTTGCCCCACTCTGTGTAGAACCAGCTCTTGGCACAAGCTCCCATGTCACAGTTCTCCACGTCATTGGGCCGCAGATTCATGTTGCACTCATCGTCTGGAACAAAGTCGCCCACGTTGCTGACACAGCGAACCTCCCGTGATCTCTGACCCAGCCCACATGGCACCGAGCACTACAGAGACACAGGCCATATGGTTAGCACAGTAGAAGTACACACTGCAGGGGAGCCAGAATGATTGATTATGTTTTTCATTACATTGGTTTTAAGCTTTATTTATCAAGTACATTAATGTATCTGTTAAAAAAAAAGTGGATTCTGTCTATGGTTTTCCAAGGTAAGCTTCTTATTCCAGGTGTCAAGTTTTGAATTTCTGTATGTTTTCTTTGCATCCTGCTGAGCTCATAGAGGACATATAATGTGCACTCCTGCTGTGCCTATGCATCTACTCAGAGTCTGACTGCTTACTCTGTCACCAGATATTTCATATTTCAAAAACATATATCAAGAATATTTTTGATAAATCCGTCATGACTCTCCAGAGCTGCACAATGAGAATAGTTAGACCGAACCAGAAAAGTAAGGCTGCACCCAGACGGATGAAAGATGTGCTGAAAGTGACTGTAGAGCTTTGTAAGGCCAAGGGGAGCTGCAGAATAAGCAGATTCTCAAGGATCCTCACTTCAAGTGACCTCTTTCACATTGCCTTTTCCTACATTATTATTTTTTAAATATAAAGCTCATTTTAATTAACACAACACAAAGATGTAATATAGACACAAAAACACTGACTTACATTTTCCACTGTAAACAAAGCTTATTGTCTCTGGCATGATTTTTTTTTACAACAGATCCAGTATCACAGTAGGTGTGTTATTCAAGAACGATTCCTTTAAAGAGGTTGATACAAGAATAAAAGAAAAAATATGATACTGACATCTGGGATAACATTTCATGCATGTACAGAACTATCTGATACATCTCATCTATTTAAGGTCACATATTATGCAAAAATACACTTAACCATGTTTCTCTAAAACTAATAAGTGTCCTTAGTCTTTCTACAAACCCCCAATAATGAGAAACGTTCATCCTCTCCATATTTTGCCTGCTCCACTTTTCAGAAAATGTGTGCTCAAACAGGCCGTTTGGAAAATGTTTCCTTCATGACATCACAAAGGGCAGTAGCCCCTCCCCCAGGTGGGTGACACTCTGGCTAGGTGTTTGTTCTGCCCTCTGAGTCTGCCTTCTCACGTAAACAATTCCAGAGGTGTGTGAGCAGACACAGAAACAGCCTGTTCTGAGCAGGGCTGAAATAGAGGGGTTTATAGGCATGATCAATTACAGGATCAGAGTGGATTTAGAACAAGAAACTTCATAGACAGGTTTTTGGGAGCTCTGAGACTTATTTAAACTTGTTGAAAAGGAGGATAATATGTGACCTTAAACTATATTAACTAAAGGGCAGAGAGATCAATGCAGTCACATTGTGACTAACAGCTGTCACTCACAGCGTCCAATCGGAGCGGATCTGCCACTCACTGCAGATCTTCAGCTGGCATGTACTGGTGATTTCGGGACGCTCTAAGTGTCGACAGTGGCTCGTGTGGACGTTGAGAGTGCGGTTGGCATAAATCTGCCGACAAAGGACCTGGCGGTGCTGCATCCCCAGGCCGCAGGTTTTACTGCACTCTGACCACTCTCCAATGTCCCAGCTGCTCAGGGGGAAAAGGCTTGATGTTAGAAAGGTATCTTTGGCAGTGCACATTTATTGATTTATGTATTTAAATAGGTAGTATATGTTTTGTTTTAATAGTCATTTGTTTGTATAAATGTGTTTTCCATCATATGTCAACATTAAATTGCAAATGTTGTGTTCACATATCTTGCTTTCCTAACCCATGAACACAAGGCAAATGTTACATACGCTGCAGAATCTCAAAGTTAGTCAGTCTAAGGTACATCAACATTTTGGATTCAAATTGGCCCTCCAGGCCAATCACTTAGGGGCCCTGACCTCCCAGCTCTGCTGTTGCTTTTTAAACCTGTGAGGGCAGATGACATTATGACAGTCTCTAATGTGAAAAGTATCCACCATCTGAGCTCTAAGTAGCAACTCCCATGTCTGACCCTAAGCTAAGACGAAGCTGCATTTACAGCACATATAATACATATCCTGATCTTATAGGACGATATGTTAATGCTTTAACGATAATGATGTGTATACTTAATGTAGCAGCATTCAGAAGTGTGCTCTTGTGTGAGATCAGAAGAGTGATGTTTCTCACAAGGCAGGGCAGGGCTGCAGGTTGCAGGCCTCTTCCTGAGGAGTCGGTCTGCTGCTGCTGTCACACAGAGTCTCTGATACCTGGACGTGGTTTACCCGGGAGACACATTGAAAGATGGAGTATCTGAACCCTGAGAAGCATACAAAGTAGATTTTAAGCTACTGTAATGAACTTTAAATTGGTGTCTATTTGGCACCCCCTGTGGACAAAGCAGTACCTTATCTCTTCACTGATCTCGTCCTGTATATACTGATAGTATTTCTGACAAATGTCTGATTTTTCTTTCTTTTATCAGTCAAATGTATCAATCATTGTGTATATTTGTTGTACAATGTACAATATGACAGTTGTTACAGGTATTTATATAACAAAATAAAAATAGTCTGTCTTGATTATTGTCATGATTATCTTGTTTGCCTTTGTAGGTCACATAGAGACATTAGTATTCCCTTCAGTCTGTTTAATGAACAGCTTCAAATTCAAGCACAAAGTCCTAAAACTGAAACACAAAAAATGTATTTGTATAAAAACAAATGTGTTTTATGAATGTAGGATTAATCAACACATTTAGTGACATTATAGGATTTTAACCAACAGGCCTTATGGTTTGCTTTCAATGTGTATGGGGTAATAATGTATGCTTACTTTACTGTAGATAATCTGCAACTAGTAGTTCACAAACTGAACGACTTACCTTTCCCACATGAGGCGCTGCACTCTGTGGTTCCAGCCTGTTTCCAGTTGTACTCTCGCACACGTCTGGGAGGCTGTACGACGGGAACGTGGTTGTCAGGAAGACTAGGAGGAACCCTCCCCCCACCTGCAGGAGTTAAATTTTCCTGGCGAGGGTTGGGGTGATGGTCGTATTCAGCTTGTACTTTTACAGCATTCCCTAAACCATGGAGATGTGAGATTAGACACACTAAGAAACATAGCTATAATACTAGATCAGTAGGGATGAAAAGATACCAGGTTGGTTGGATAACTGTATATCTGCTAGTTATTTTCTTCATCAATCTTACATCTATGAATGATTAATAATAAGGTTAATCTGATGTAAGAAATTATTTAAAGGGGAAGTACAGTGGGCCTTGTTACCTTCATGTCTGTGATTTGGCTGCTGAGGGTCGACTGGTGTCTCAGAGGGTAGAACGTATTCATAGTGAATACCCGGGTTTGGCTGCTGGAAGATCATCTGAGGTAGAGTAAAAATATTAAAATAATACTTTCTTAAAAGTTTTAAATTCTGAAATGACAATCGTCGTAAACATTTTTTGAATGAGTTTAGGACTCAATGACTTGTTTGAGTCTTCACTACCATCTTATGATGTTTATTAATTCATGGCCTTTTTAGTGTCAAATCAACAACACAGTAAGATATTCCTTAGAACATGACTGCCTGTAAGTACAAAATTGTTGTATATGGCGTCCTTTAAACAAATATAAGGCTTTAACACCCTGTCATTCTAATACGGCCACTTCTAGTTCAGAAAGCAGATGGCAACAACCCTGAAGTCAAAATCAAGTGTTGGAATTTGGATAACCAAACCAATGGAGGAGGTCAGTCACAGTGGCTACATCTACTTCCTATGTACTGTCTATGACTCGACCTGACTTGAACAAACTCTACAAAGCATGACTAAACAAGAAGGAGAGTGACTGCTGTTAGTATCTGGTGGTCCGAGTCCATTCTTCTACTTACATAAACATCCAGGATCTCATTGGTGGGACCCTCAGCTAGAAAGGACTCCCCAGCTGTGCTCCGGATTTCATTAGGCCGTCGGTAGGTGAACATGGTCCCCACTCCCTCGTACATCCCTGGTCGGTCTATCGCCCAGTTTCCATTAATGATGGATCTGCCTGATCGACTCCGGAGAGCTGGAGGATACAGAGCGAATAACCATACAAACATCTCCAAAGTTTGGGCTCAGACAAAAAGAAACATAACTACCAAACCTCTTCCATTTATTGCTTAATGTGATATCAATTAGGCATAATGACAGCTGCTTACCCTAAAAGGTAAATCACAAAGCACAGGATCTGATTGTGCTGACAAATCTTTCATGCAAATGCTGTAACACATCCTCCAAAGATGTTTTCCACTGATTTCATGGATTAAGTACAAGAGGCCATTAGAAAAGCATTAGAAGTGTAACATTAGATGGGGTTGTAAAAGAGCGTTTGGACTACTAAAGCACATTAGTCATGCACAGCGTAGAACAGAGGGCTATTGAGAGAAAATCCAAGATGTGGTGAGGATACAGAAGGTGGCTCCTGCTGGATTCACATTTTTTGTTTCATATTTTTGTTCACATTTAAAAATACTTTTAAACTATGCTTGGAATTTTGTACCTTTCCAATGAATTGAAAAAATAGTTTTAAGATGACTGTTTATTTTACTATCAAGGCTGTTTGACGTTCTCTTGCATGAGGGGAGTAATTGTTTATGCGTGATTTACTTCCACTGTCAAAATGATGTCTATAGTACAAGTATATAAATGTTTACTGAAAGAGAGGACGTCTTTACACAGCTCAGTGTACTTGTCTGTATATAAATGGTGGGCTCATGAAAGAAAGCGGGACATACTTGAAAACCAAGTACCTTGTATTTGAAAGGTTCTGAATCCATCCTTGGTGTTGTTAATTTTCCACACAGTGCTGAAATTCCTCACCTTAATTAAAAAGGCTGGCAAGGCTTTAGGGGTAAGATCCTCTAATGAAAGTGTGTTTATGCACTTTCCCTTGAGGGGAGAGACAGTGGGGGGAAATCAGGGCCAATACCCTGGTCTTCTAAACCTACCGCATGGCTCTCATTAAACAATGTGTGACATTCCAGCAGCCGCTTCTGAAAATAATCCACCACCGTGTCCCACTGTCGCAACTCTATTAAGTTGGCAATTATCTGGCTGATGCGTTACACTCAGAAGCTCCGGTGAAAGGCTGCTGCTCACTGCTGGGTGGTAATATATGCTACCCACTGGAGAGACCCTGAAAAAGTGACACCACCCGCTGGTCCATCTGCCTTTTTAGACAAAGCAGCTGCTGCAACACAGCTAGAAGTAGAAGACCTGTCATATGTCCATGTACCAAACGACAATCCTATTTATCATCTTATCATTTTGATCCTTATCTTCCATGACCCTTCTTTTCACTGATGTCAAGACTTTAGATTTGTAATGTAATAATACAGGAAGTGCACAGAGATGATTGTTTCTTCTATATGTGTTATGAGCAGTATGAAGCAGAGATCTGCAGTGGACTGCAATTGATGACACTGAAGAGTTGGATGAAAACAGGAACTCTCAGTTTGCCAAGAGAAAGCTAAATTAGCTGTAACAGGACACACATTATCCAGCAAACGCTGCAAAGCCTCAAATGAAACGATATTTTCAGCAGAAAAACAAAAGGAGATGTTTTCCATTTTGAAGCACTGCTGTCTGTTCAAACCATTTAACAACTGATGTATTTAAAAAAAAGGCCTGTCCTCTCAAACTAATCGATGCCAAATAAGTATTAGTGTTTGATGATTTCATACAGATGCTGCACTTCACATCACTTTTTGTTGGATGAGCAGAGTTTCACAATCTTGAGTTCACTAACAAAATAAAAACTTTCAATCATGGTCACATTTAGTTTTGTTCTTTTGGTAATTGTGTCTTGAATCGTTCACCCAGATTTGAAACAGAAACAAAGACAGAAACCATAAAACCAATCCTTGGCAAGAAAACAGACGACCACAGCTCGAACCAGCCTCACTTTCTCTTTGTGAATCTTTGTGAATCTACAAGTCTATCTGAAAACAGAACTGGTACTGTTGAGCACAGATTAAACATAAAAGTGTTTTTTCCCCCACCTAAGTAGTTCCTGCTCTTCACCATTTCTGTGACGTTGATCTTGGTGGCTCCCTCTGGGATCTCTACTATCTTGTGGTAGCCGATCTTGGTTAAACTGTGTTTGAACACTCCAGAGACCAGCCTGCAGGTTGAGTTGTCGCCTCCACACACGCCACACTTGTCCATCACCTTTCCTGAACCGAGATACTCATCGCAGCCTAGACTCTGGAAACAGAAGAGAAAACACAACATTAAAGGGTGGGTGTTATAATGTGTTGATTTTCAGGAGTTAATTATTGTTAGAATGTTGGATATTCAAACTAAAATGTGGGCAAAGTTTTAAATCAGCAGGTAAATGTGTCTGTCTTCAGAGCTCAGTCTGCAGGTTGCTCTGGTTGGAGGCAGGTTTTTTCTACCATGGTGATTTTGTGTCATCACAGAGTCACAGAATTCCTAATATGGTCATATGCCAGGCAAAATAATGATGCATTCATGTGGTGTCGGACACATCGGAAAAACTAGTTTCCGAGTTGTAAAATGAACACATGCTCAAGTCGGAACAACAACTGGGAAAATCGGAAAATAATTAGGCGTCTGACTTCCCGCCTTGACGTCAGAATCATCATCAAATGGGGGGCAAAATATGTTTTGTCAATGTAAACATACTTTTTATTAAAGGGATACTTCACCCTCTGAAACATGAATCTGTGTTGACATTGGGTCATATATGTAGAAATGTGAAATACATTTTGAAGTTGGTGCCTTCTTGGCTGAGAAAAGGCAGAAAGTATCTTTTTGGCTCATGTGGATGAAAGACACCAAATCCCAGAATGCACAGTACCGCAGGCCACTCCCACTAAGGTCCTCGATTTCAGAATCAGAATCAGAAATACTTTATTAATACCAGAGGGAAATTCGACCGTTACAAGCAATATGGCGGACGTTAAGTTTCGATTCTGGGAGTGAGTTCCCACCCACTGATCTGTGATTGGTCTGTAGCTTCAGTGGTCGAAAATATGAGGAACTAGCATTGTAGTTTCACCCCACTAACCGCAACAGCTTCCACTGGAAGCTCCTTTTCAGACTCAGAAATACAAAGATTTCCTGTCTCGGGGAAATTAGGGCTGGATGCACGACCATTCAAAACTACTACCAGGTTTCTAATGATGCAATGCTTAACGCAAATGGGTGAAGTATCCCTTTAATTCACGTATTGCACATCAACTTTTTTTCCAAAGTATAACTTGTAACAGTTGCATTCCACAGATCTTCTTTGTAGCATCATCACTGTGTTTTGCTGTTGTTACAACATTCTGACTTTCCGAACTGTAATCACATGAACACACTGAAGTCAGAAAAACTAAGTTCCCATGGTTCAGGACAGCTGGCTAATCAGATGAAAGTGGGTTTCTAAGGAGGGGGCCTTAAAGAGATTCTAATCACCTGAGTCAAAGAGAGCCTGAACTAAGTGTTTTCACAGAAACCAGGATGAGGTAAACAAGAAGCTGTTAAATCATACAATGTTGCTACAGAGGTTTCAAAGAGTAAAAGAAGTGTTGAGGCACTGTATAGTCTCGCGGTTACAGTATGTTGTGCCTCCCGTGTCATGGGTTATTGTGCTAGTCGCAGTAGCACTATAACCCATCAGTTATCCTATCAAATAAAGGCAAAATGTCCCAAAAAATATAACTTAAAAATAAATTAAGAAGTGTGGTGTTTTGTCAGAGTGCACATTGTAGCTGAAGAAGGAAGTATTCACACGGTTGACTTGATGTGTGCAGGTTTATAGACTGGGCTAATTAGGCTTAAAAGATTATATTTACTCAGCTAAGCCAAGTTGTATGTGTAAAAAGAACTTCATAAACACAAACCATGAACTACAATAATAGAATAGCTTATATGCGTAACATGTTTCATTCCAGAGGCATTCTTTTGGGGTGACTTTAAACTGAACGTAATTTCCTTCCTAACACTCTAGGCTGTGAGTTTTCTATACCACACTGGTGGCAATGAATAACAGGAAACCCGGGCACAGTAAAAATAGAACAGTTCAAATCAGCAGTCCATAAAGACGCTCAAACCAGCAGTAAAAGCAACTCACTGTGCAAACAGGTGGTTGAGAAGCCAAAACTGGTCCCACTGAGGTACCACATACTCATACATACTGGGCTGTGATGACTGGAGTGCCAGAGTATGTCCCGAACAGACCACAGCTGCCAACGAGTAAACCAACATCATAGGGGGGGATTATGTATGCCAGTATGCCTCGCCTCCTGCTTGGTTGCATGTGGATTCCCGGACTGAATCTGACATATTCCTCTTGTGATGCAAACATATTTCCCACAGAGATAACACATGGACTGGCTTTTAGCTCTACACATGGCCCAGAGGTGCCAAACCTTTCTCTAAAGATAAATGACATAAACACAGTCACAGGAAGGTAAAATGGTCATCTCTATGGGTTGCCTGTACCTGCAGCAGACTTACAGTTTCGAAGGGATGAAAAGTGGAATAGATGGAGGTAGTGCTGAAAGGGAAGGAGGGGGAAAAAAGCACTTGGGGAAAACTCAAGAGTAGAGTCTGGCTCTCTCCCACCCGTAGCAGCTCGTTCAATTCAGAGCCAAAACAAACATGAAGTGGCTGCTTCCACACAGGAAATAAGTGATGAGCGTGAAGAGCAGCAAGCTATAAGAGAGCTGAAAAAAAAAAACTGCTTGTGCAGTCAGGGAGTGTTGCAGGGCAGCATTGGGCTGGATTAAGTCAGGGTAAAAATCACCAAATGTAACACAATAACATTCAAGGCTGAGTTTTAATAACTCACTTTACAGACCAGCAAATAGTGAATCCAACTGTGAACACTACATTAATGCATTCTAAAACACATTTAAGGATGTTTTGACATGCCGAATAAAGTCCACCGTGGAAAACAAACCAAAATTCAGTCGACGGGAAGAATTAATGACATGACTACCAATGAATATCTCCTCCACGTCTCCATTTTCACCATAAACCCCTTCAAACTAAAACAACACCATTATACAGCTTGATAGCCTTTGCCTGAAAAAGGGAAAAATGTTCCTCTCGTAAAACAGATGCTGACATGATGAGAGGTTATCTGTGTCCATTTGGCATGGGGAAATGTCTGAATGAACACATTTCAATGTAGAAGTGGAGAGTAAGCAAGAAATGTATCGTCCCTTATCTGAATTTTCAAACTAATAACATCTGACCGTGGATGTAAAAACACAAAAGGTTCTTCATTCTTCACAGACAGGTGAACGCTAAGAGATTCTTTAACCTACAACACTCGCAGCTTTTTTTTCCTAAACTGCATCAAGGACACAGAAGCATACATACCACTGCAAATCTTCCAGATGTGGTCATTAGATGCAAGATCATATGCACACACAAAAAAAAACAGAAAAAATGATTAAAAAAAATATTTAGACATTTCAAATTTTTAGTTTGCGATTTCTCCACAGCAATAACCAAACAGACAAACAGTCCACCCAGATTCTGAAGCATGCTGGCAGCATTAGAGGGTTAAGAGATGATTTGATGTAAAGTGATTTGGACAGTTGTACAATTTAAATCACAAAAACTGTCAAGAGTAACTTTCTGCCTTGCAGTAGCATGCTGCACATAAACTAACATCATAATGTGCCTCTGAAAAATCCCACAAAGTGTCACATCTGCCCTCCAGGCTCACTCTGACAAATGTGACCTTAACTGTGAACTCTTCAAACTGAGGTGTTGTTGGCATGATGACACAAAAAGACTCCCTATATCGTCACCATAGGGGATAAAACACAAATCTGATTGTGGTTGATAAAAGAGGGGTCGGTCCTGAAATGTAAGACTTATTACTGAGAGTTTCTCCCACTTCTCTCTGTGGGTGGTTTGTGCCATCTGGTGCGGGAAATCACCCTGTTTTCAGTGGAATTATGGCAGGATTTTGAAAAAGTGGCTTCATCTGGAAATGGTTACTAGTGTCAGGACGTTGGAATCGATTTCCAGTCAACCTGCGAACACTGAAAAACAACGTCATCTAAAGTTAGTCAGAGCAGCTGGGTTAAAGTCATGCAAAGTTTTTCTTACAAACTGAACTCAACACAGAGACAAAGTCACCAGGGATCTATTCTTCTCCCACAGAAACAACAAGATAATTAGAATAATACACCCTGAGAGGTGAGTTTTAGTGTTCCCCAGGCCATAGTTCAGTCATGTCAACACCTAAGGTCACCATGGCAGTTTTAATTCTTAAATACTGACATTAAATTAGGGCAAAGACTCTTCAGAAATGACGATTCACAGAAGTCAGAGTTTTGATTTTTAGCCATAAACCAAATGTTGACACAGAAAACGAGCATGCTTGATCTTACAGGGGAAAAAAAGCAAGTCATTTTAACTAATATCTGGGGTCATGTGAATTCAGGGACCGTAAAAATAGAAGGATTTAGCGTCAAACTATTTTACTTAACCTCATAAGTCTTCCACTTCCTCTGTCACAAGGCTTTTGGCACGGCCACTGTAAGTTTAAGAAAGAGTTATTTTCAGGGGAGGTCGTACGAAAATGTGCAAAAGTGTGGTACTAAAAAAGATGAATGACTCTTTCAGTGATATCAGATGATTAGTCTTAACTGTGACCAAAATAAGTGATTATGATGAGATAAAAATATGTTATTTCAGTACAAAATTTAAATATAATTCAACTGAAAAACACAAAGTCAAAGAAAGTCAGAATGATGTGATCAAATGTCACAATAATGAGATGAAGATAATAAGTTAGAAAATGAGAGATAAAATGAGTTATCGACCGTCATCTCATATTCATGTTACTGTGGGGATATATTTATTACTGAGTAGAAGATGTTCACTTGTTTTTCCTTTAGAGTTCACTGCAGAAACAATCCTTCACGATCTTTAAAAATAACAGTTAGATTATGAAGCATTATTTATGATTATGAAGCAACATTTGAGACCACTTGGTTCGGGCCCCCTGGTTACAGTGAACAAGCTATAAACACATCTTGAAGACATTAAACTCTCATGTTGTCATCTCCACATCCACAAATACCTGACTCCTCTGCCGCTGAACTTTGTTCACCTGATAGTAGTCTCTATTCCTAGATTTATGCTTTTGGAAGCCGAATATGTCGGAGAGGGACAAAATGTTTGGTATTGGAAAAGGTCTGGTTTCCATTTTGTAGTCCGAGAAGTACTGT